GTGAAGTCGGTGATGACTTCTGTTCGTGTGTACGCGGAGGACTCTCTTCAGCAGGACTGGGATGAGATCGCTGAAAAGCTGGTGTTTGCAATTAACACCTCCCAGGACACAGCAAGGAGGGAAACACCGTTTTACCTCGTTCACGGCTGGGACGCACGATCCACACTCCGGGCGATGTCTTCATCACTCAGAGGAGAATCCAATAGACAGTCCGATGCGCTAGCGTGACGTCTCGAAGTCAACCGACAACAAGAAGTTGCTTTGACTATGGCCAATGACTATCAAGCGGCAGAAAGGAGCAAAGAGCCAAGGAACACAACGAAGCGCTAAGTCCACTGAGAAAGACGCTGTGCCAGGACCAAGAGAGAATGGACGCTCGGTGGGTAGCCCAGAGGTTTTGTCGGTCCCGAATGATGCTGTAGAGTGCCCACCGAGGTCTCTTTTCGAGATTGGAGGCGGAGTGTGGGTCTACATGGAACACGTAAATCCGGTTTCACCAAGAAGTTAGCACATCGGTGGCATGGACCATTCCATATCAAACGAAAGGTCGATTAGTTCGCGTACAAGTTGGAGTCGCCAGATACCGCTTCTACCCCGTTGTGCATGTGTCGAGACTCAAGGCTGTAAACGAGTATCCAAGTCGACCGAAGACTCGGTTGACGCAAGATGTGACCGAGGATATAAGGATTGACTTCGATGAGGAGCTGTTGCCTGAAGATAGTTGGGAACCGGACCACCGGGCAGGGGAATATGAGGTCGAGGCCATCCTCGATGACCAAATACAGCGAGCCGTGCGAGAATTCAAAGTCAAATGGATGAACCAACTTGGGAGCCATCATCTAACCTGTCGTGTGGAGGCTTGTTATACGGCTATCTGTGGGCCAAGAAGAGCGAACGTCGGCTGCAGATGGTTCAAGTCGCCGACAAAGATTAGCGTGGTCCGAACACGCGTGAACTGTCCATAGGGCTGTGCAGCCTATGATAACAGACGAAAATAGTTACTGCACCAACAATTTGTATATGCATATGATGATTTACGTGAACGTGATTACGATTTGGAGAATGAATTAAAGAACGAAGACATGAAAGCGTGTGAAACTTCGACTACTGAAAAGGAATGATCGGGAGCACCCGCTGGAGATCGGCACGGAGCAGACGAAGGTGAAGAGACAAGCACCGAGTGCTCAATCAGACGACAGTCGCCGAGCCGCTTCAGCAAGCACGCCCAGAGACGTGTCACCGCTGCTCTCCTTCTCTTCTCCTTCGGGAGGAGACGAGCGAGCTGCTGGTGGAAGAGCGGGAGTACTTGCGTCATCGTCACCGCTGCCTACTGTCGACGCAGCCGCAGTCGAATCTCCAGGCACTGGTCCCGTGAGATAACGATCTTGCCAGTCCAGGGTTAGCTCGGGAGCCTAGCAAGGGTTGGCAATGATCGACCTAGCGATCTGGTTAGTCATCGCTGCATCGACAGCACGGGGGCAGAAGATCCGAGCCTCGCGATTGCATGGCACGTAGGTCGTGTTGTACGGGTGATCGAACGGTCGGTACACCCAGTTTGCACACCACGGCTGTCGATCCACCAGCGCAGTAACCTCCGCGATCCAGTCCGTTGTCTTGGGAACGAACGGCAAGTTCTCCACTGGATACCAAGGAACGGAAGGCTCGATGATCATCTCTGGACAGATGAGCGAGCGTTGAGAGGTTGATGCAGACTCCAAACTCCACTTCAAGTACTGCAGTTGGTACATGTTCCGGAGGCGGTCTGCCCGAGTGCTCCGGCCACCCATCGGAACTCGAAAGCTGGCCCTCTTGGTCTTGACGAGATCTTTGTCGCAGTTAGGTTCCGCTTCTTCAGCCGTGAACCCCTTTTCAACAGCGGCAGCGAGGATCCAGAACCGTCGTTCCCAAAGTACGAAGCCGAGATCTGGCAGGGGAAAGGATATATCCACCGGATATCGGTATGACAGCATGTAAGGCCGGTATCAATACGCTCTCTGCTCCGGTACCATTTTCCGAGAGTGGTACCGTGTATCCTGGCGTGCGTGACCAAAACAAGGACACAAATAATTTCCCGACTGAAATTTATGAATCTAGAAATTTAGAGAAATCCGCCTGTGGCTCAGCACAATCGAAAGAAGGGAGAAGCGCTGTGTATCGACGAGTACGGCGGCCGTTAGGATGCTGCCGCGGCAGAAGAGTGCTGCGGACGAGGTACGGTAACCTCGTGGTGTTATGCTCTG